CTAAAGCAATGTTAGGACGCCTTAGCGGTAACCCTAATGTCTTAGATCATTTTTCCGAGGCGACCGTTTCGAGGCAACTATGATCTTTGGACAAGAGGGCGACCTCTAAAACTTCCTATACTCAATGACCACGTTCGAGGCAACCAAGTGAGGTGTACCCTAAGAGTGGCATGTGCAAGTGTGTTATTTCGATTAATTTTATCTGTACATGTCATGGGTGAGCTATATTGATTTTAGGTTAAAGATTGATCTTGTCATGCATTGCCTATTTATCAAACATCTAACAGCTAATATTGTGCAGAAATTAAATTGCGGGAAATTAAATCTAAACTATTACAAGGCGTCGGGTATTTACATCGCCAAAAACAAACCCTTTAATTTAAATTGCGGAAAGTAAATAAAATGCGATAAATGATTAAAGTCCTAATTAAAAGCTATTACATTCCTGAAGCAATTACATTATCGGATAAAAATAATACGCGTGCGAGAAAATTAAATCGGAGCGTTTTTAGGGTTTTGACCCTTTTTAGGAAAGAAAGAGATTTTTTTGTTATTTTTTGAATTAAATGAAATTAAACCTAAGTTAATTAATTATTTAAATAGAAAATATAGTTTTGGGTTTTTTATATATAAGGAAATAAGATAAAAATGATTAAAATTATTAAAAACCTAATTCTATGTTAGTTTTAATTTATTGCAAAAAATATTAAAATTGTACCTAATTAAAAAACTAAATTAATTGATTAATATTTATTTACTAAAAAAAATAACGAAATTAGTTTGAATTAATAAAAATAATATTTTTTTTATGTTTTCTGATTTTATTAAGAAAAATAAATTGGTTAGTGTAAATAATAATAATAATAATAATAATAATAATTAATAAAACAATTAAATAAAAAGAATAATGAGAGGAAATAACCAAGGGGGTGCTGGGCCTAATTTGAAGGTGAAATCAGCAATTTCCAGGCCCATTAACATTCAAGCCTGCTTTGACTTTTCCCATCCAGTGTGCGCTTGTTGACTTGGGCATATGATAGTCCCTCATTCCTGTCCACCAGATCTGGCCTGGAGTCCATCTGGCAGGTTGATCTTGTAGGCATATGGTGGTCTAACGCTTTAGAGAGCATACTCAATTACCTGGAGAAAAATCAAATAAATGTTTTGGGGGACCTGGGATTCGAACCCAGGTCCCATGGGACTTTGCAACAACACGCTTGCCATCTGAGCCAATGTGCTTGTTTGTTATTAATATAAGTGACAATTATTATATGCAAAACAACGCGTTATTCCTGAAAAATAAAAAAAGTGGCGCGCAGTTTGAATGGTCCAATAGGAAGAAGACACGCCTTCGTCTTCTTCGTTGAAATAACCAGGATTTTTACCTGCGGATTTTATCCGCAGCTGAATCCATGGCTGCCCTCAAAAATCCTCTATAGGCCTTGGAAACAAGTTTTAAGAACACCATCATACTCGTCTCCTTCCACTGATCATCCATGTACCAATTATTTATCTTGATTTTGCTTGTATCCAAAATGCCTAAAAAACAAGAACAAGAACCCTAGCTTCGGATCTAAGGTTATAGGCCATGAAAACAAAATTGAATAATGCAGACATGTTGGAAATTTGATGTTAAGCACGATTGTACAAAAAAATGGCAAAAAGATGCAAGAACATGGATTCACGATTCCATGTTCAGAGGTATGTTCGTGGGCACTTACAGCGAGTTTGGGGCTGCTTCAAGGCTTGATTTTGATCCCTTTGGCTTCAGTGAATGCCAGGCTAGAAGGCTATGTGGAGATTTTGGATTGAATCGTGCTTTAATATTGATTTCAGATTCAAAGTTTTCAAGCTTTTTCTCAAGTTTTGTCTGGCCGTTTCTTGCCGTTTCTTGCAGTTTCAGGTCGTGTTCTTGATGTGTACAGCTTGTGTGTGTATAAGGGAATGAATTAGGTTAATCTTTGGGCCTTGAATCCATGAGTATTGAAGATTGGAGATTTGATATGATCTTCCATTAACAAGTTTCCAAAATTGTACCAAATCTGATTTTTTGTGCACAACAATGCTTGATACGAATTTGATTATGTGAATCATGATAATTGAAAGCAGCAATGATCAAAAAAATCTCATTCCATTAATTTTTGGATTTTATTTGAATTAATATTGATTTAAAATGAATTAAATCAATAAAAACTAAATAAAATAGAAAAATAAATGATTGGTCATGAAATTGAAGATATGACACGTGTGTGGTGTGATAAGACCAAATCAAGTGGAAAAAAGTGGTCCCTTTTGTCAAAAATTGGAGTTTTGAGGATAGTTGACTTTTGGCACTTTTGGAAAAATGCCCAACTTTAACAATTCATAACTTCTTCAATTTTGAACTTTTGGAAGTGTTCTTGGACTTTTTAGAAACCATGAGATGTCCTCTAACCAACCGTTTTGGTCTCATCTAATTTTGATATTCCATGCTTAAGTTATAATCTTTGGAAAAAAAGGTGTTTTTGTTGACTTTCAAAAATGACCTATAATGTCCAAATTTGTAACTTCTTGTGAGTGCATTTCTTGATCTTGGGGTGTGAAGATGGATTGTAGGAAATTGCATCCTCTTAAATATGAGCTTTGGATGGGTCATTTCTCATACATTATGAGAAAGTTATGCCTGGTCAAAGTTGAGTTGACTTTTCCTACAAAACCCTAATTTAGCAGCTTTTGAATCTTGATGAATCTTGAGAAATCCTTGATGAATCATGATCAACCCTTGATAAAATGATGAATTATCCTTCAAAATGAGAATGTTGGCAAAAAATCTTGAGTTTTGACTGTATTTAGGTCACATTTGACTTTTGCCCTAGCACAGTCGATTTTTGAACTTCTTGAGCAATTGACTGACCAAACTTTCTCTGCAAGGCTTGAAATTTGACATGGATGAACTTGAGAACATGTTAGGACATTGGGGAGCATTTGAGACCATTTGGATATGAGTACCTTGATGCAACACACAACCCTAATTTGATATTGACTGCCTTAGGAGGTGATTTGACTGTCCAACTCTTGAGCTATCTTGAACAACTTGGAGATGATTCTTGACATGTCTTGAGAAATATGGGAGGGAAAATTTTGGGGTACAACAGTTGCCCCTGTTCAATCTTCTTAAACCTAAGGATATAGATTGGCGTTCGGGCCTTTCGTGATCCGAAGGTGGAAGATGATTGAACACTAGAGTGCCCAGAAATTTGCACTCGCATGAAGTAGTATTTGTCTTGTGATGTCGAGAATGGGCTTACAGATGCCATTTGGAGATTGATGATGGGAGATGGGCTTAAAGATGCCATCCTAAGTAGTGTCGATCGCTGTAGCAGTAAAAATCAGAGATCAAGCTATTAATTAACTTGACTCACAAAAGCAAGAGTCGCCACCGCGCTTTATTATTTCCAAGGGAAAAGGGAAAAGAGCGAAATAAAACCCTAAAATATGCAATGTAAAATAATACTTAAAAGTAATAAAAATACAATGCATTTTGAAAAGAGATCAAGAGTTCAGGGGTTGGTTATACAATGGGAAGGTATTAGCACCCAATGCATCTGCGGTACTCCGCAGGAACCTTTTGAAATATCTGTTTTTGGTTAAAATTGTTTGTTATATACAAGGGTGTATTTATCCACAACTATGTTTGTTCAAGGGGAAATAAATGAGTTTTTATTATTGCGTTCGTGAGGGTTTCGCGACTCTTTGCCTACGTATCCAATGAAGGAATCAAAACACCGTAGTTCCTCTATAAAAAAGATTGATTTGTTTGTGTTTTTTAGTGGGCGACATTAACTCACACATTCTAGCAATAGGCATGGCCGGTATCGCGGTAGAACGGAGATAACATGCCCTTGGGGGGAGTTTTGATTTGTTGAGTGTTTTTGCATGTTTTAAAGTATATTCAAGTAATAATTAAAGAGTGTTTTTGGATTTTTGGTTTGTGAAAGTTAAGTTTTAATTCCGATAGAAAAGTTAAAGGGGAAATTTTATCCTAATGCTATTATGTAAGGTTTTGACCCTATGCTTAATTTCGACCCGAGACGATCAAAGTGAACTTAAACGCTTCATGGAATCACCTAAGGGAACATTTATTGATAATTGACTAAGTAATCAAACAAAATAAAAATAAAAAAAGGATACAAAGATAAAAAAAAATTGTGTGATTTTTATTGGGCAGAGAAATGTAATTAAAAAAAATTATTAACTAAGCTAAAACAATATCAAGAATTAATTCAGTTAATTTTAAAACTAAAGTATTTAATAAAATTATTTAGTTAATTAAAACCTAATTAACTTACTAACTAAACTAAAACCAACAAATAATAAAACCAAAAAAACAAAAGGGCTGAAATGTTAGCAGTTAGAGGGGTGTTAACATGAAAAACGGTTTGGGCTAAAAGACCCAAAGTCCAACTAGTCAAAAATCATAAAAAAATCAATTATAATTTAAATTGTGATTTATTTAATAATGATAAAATAGCAAGGAGGGAGGATCGTTCCTTCAACATACTAAAGAATGAAAATAAACAAAATTATGTGAATTAGTCACATACTAAACTATCTTGGACTTTTTCAATAAATGGATTGCACCAATACTATGAGGACATGTGGCAAGCACTATCAAGCATTTCAAAAATTAAAAGAAACAAAAAAATACAAGAGAGTGAGAGAAACATTTTTTTTAGATCCAACCTTTCAGCTTTTCTCTCATGCGTATTCTCTCTTTCTCCCGGCAGCTTTCCTTCACTTTCTTCACAAATATCTTTCACTAAATTTCAAACTTAACAACAAACATACACAGTGAGTGATAATCGATGGAAGAAAAATAATACACCATACCTGAATTGGAGACGGCGCACACAAATATTTATGAGGGTGATGCGGACAGCGGTGCTTGGTTGCTTCGGTTCATCGGTGGCTATGATCTTGTGATTTCACCGGCGAAGATACGGTGACGGTGAGGTATTTGCATGGGTGTTTGTGAATCGGGTTTGGCAGAAGGGAGGGTGATGGGCAGAGTTGTATTTGTTCTGTTTGGAAGAGGAATTGAAGGGCGGAAGATGGATGTTGCACGATGGGAGTATGCTGTGAGTAGAAGAGGGAACATTAGGGAGTATGTTGAATTGCTAGAGGAATGGCCAGAAAATTGACGGAAAGGGATAAAAGCGTTACGATTATGGTGTATCGAAACAAGCTTGAGGATGATGGCAGTGGAGAGATGGTAGTTTATTACGGTGAGGCTACAGAAGGGGACGTAAAGAGTTATGAATATGAGATGGTGAGTATGGGTTGATTTTATTATATAAGAGGCAGTCTGGAGAATCGAATGAAGATGGAAGTTGGAATGTTACTGAGTTGCCTCTTGAACCAAAGAAAAAGTAAGTTGCTAATTTTTTGTAGATTGGGTTTTTTTTTATTGTGTAATATCTCCTCCTTGCTCTTCACCATTTGCTTCTGTTTTTATAGTGAATGTATGATAGAATCGGAGGGAAAATTGGAGCCAAATATAACTTGAATTCTAGTTTATGTCAACTGCCTTATGCTTTCTTGATGCAGGGATTTATGGTTTCATTTTGGGCAAGTTTTTGGACAGCAAAGATAGTAAAAGGCTGTTTGCAGACTGGTTTTTTATGCAGGTTTTGGAGTGAAGTAGCAGCAAGCTTGGGGCCTTTAGGACAACAAATTTGGACTGTTTTATTTGGTTACTTATGTAGGGATAGGGACTGGTTTTGCAAGTTCAAAAAAATTTGGTTTTGGGACCACAACTTTATAAAACAATAAAGACAATAGTAATAATAATGATAAAAGACAATTTGTTAGTAATACAAAACAGAAGAATAATAATAATAAAAATAAGATGCAAACAAAATTAATTTTATTTTAATTTTAATAGTAATTCAATTTTAAAAATTGAATTAAAATTAGAATCAAATCAAAATTAATATTGGATTAAAAGAAGCTAAAACTATAATGACCAAAAAGAATAAAAAAATGTAAAATAAAGGAAAAGATATTAACTATATTTTTTGAGATTTTTTGGATTAAAATCTATACTAAAATACAAATCTAAATGAAACCAATAAAATTATAATATTTTTTGATATATTTTTTTTGAATTAAGAATTGCAAATTTAAAATACTATAATGCTAATTATAAATATTTTTGTGATTTTTCTAATAATGCGATAGTAAAAAGTGACATGAACTAAAATACATATTTTTTTAGATTTTTTTTTTCAAATAAGACAAAAATGATAAATAAAAGACGAAAAAATATGCGCTATGCACGATTTGGTAAAGGTTGGACAAGACATGATCAAATTTCATTAAATTCATAAAGCGACTTCTAACGTTTTCATTCTTTCGTGGCATTTCAAAAATAATCATCTCTTTACTTGTAAAGAAAAGTTGTGGATGTTGTCAAGGAGAATCATATGTAAAAGAACCACTAAAAATGTCGAAATTTGAAGAAGTTATGAATTTTTAAAATCTGACTCGAGAAATGGCAAAAAAAAGGTCAAATTGCTTGTGAACACTTGTTATGTAATGACACAGATGGGAGGTGGGATCTTAGATCAAAAATTGGGGTATGACAATCGCGTAAGAGATTCCTTAGCGAGAGCTTGTATGCCTGTTGTTGAGGGAGATTCCGCTGGGGAATGTTGTTCTTTGTCTTAGGAGAAATAGAACTTTAGGAGCTTCGGTCGTCCGTTATTCTACTGGGGAATCATCTCTGTTGAATTTTAGGAGCTTCGGTCGTTCATTATTCTACTGAGGAATCATCTCTGTTGAAGAGGTGAGAGTGAACTACTATCTGGTCGCAACCCAGGCTTCATAGTGATAAGACCGACTGCTATCTGGTCGTAATCCAGGCGTTACAGTGACTTACTGGGGAGATGAGATTAAACTTGCTATCTGGTTGTAATCCAGGCTTTGCAATTTCTCACTTCTTATCTGGTCGAAATCCATGCTTCAGAATAAATCAAGTGGTTATTCGGTCGCATCCGGGCTTCAACTTGAATTTAGGGCACACTAATATCCAGCCGACCCCGGGCTTCTTAGTAACTGTCCATGTAAACTGCTATTTGGTTAGAATCCAAGCTTCACAGTGTCTTGTACCGCTATCTGGTCGTGATCCAGGCTTCACGATGTGTTATACCATTATCTGGTCGAATCCAGGCTTCATGGTGTCATGTACTGCTATCTGGTCGAATCCAATCTTCACAATACCTTACTTCTTATCTGGTCGAAATCCAGGCTTCAGAACAAATCGAGTGGTTATCCGGTTGCATCCGGGCTTCCCTTTGACAGTTGGGTTTACTAGTATCTGGTCAAATCTGGGCTTCATAGTAACTGGCTGGGTAAACTGTTATTTGGTCGTAATCCAAACTTCACAGTGTCCCTTAGCGCTATCTGGTCGTAATCCAGGCTTCACGATGTATCGTACCACTATCTGGTCGAAATCCAGGCTTCGTAGTACTCTTGGTTGCTATCTGGTCGTAATCCAGTCTTCACAATATCTTCTACCATTATCTGGTCGTAATCCAGGCTTCATGGTCTTGTATTGCTTTCTGGTCGTAATCCAGGCTTCACAATAACTTGCTGAGTTGTTATCTGGTCGTGATCCGGGTTTCACGGCTTGTGTTTATGATATACCACTATCTGGTCGAATCCAGGCTTCATGGTGCTTACTGAGCTGCTATCCGGTCGTAGTCTGGGCTTCACGGCTCACTGGGGAATAAACTATTATCCGGTCGATCTCCGGGCTTCATAGCTTACTTTTGAGAGATATCACTATCTGGTCGTAATCCAGGCTTCGCGGTAGTCTGATATTGTTATCCGGTCGTAATCTGGGCTTCACAATATGTTGTAGAAATCAAGATATTATCCTGGTCGTACTCGGGCTTTATAACTTGAATTGTATCTTTCCTGAAAGGTAAAGGTTAGCTGTATGTAATGCATGATATGTATCAGGAAATGATGTTCTCAAAATAAATGAGATTGTATGGTATGATGCGTATATGCATGTATCATGATGTATGGACATGTAATGTTTTAGCTGGGGAAAATAAATCCTGGAGCTGTTGGAGAATAGAGTTGAATTCTTCGTTTCCGCTGGGGATGGTGAACGAAGGTGATTGTGAGAATAAGCCTGCAGGAGAAAAGAACTCCATTTGGGAATAAACTGATGAAGAGATTACTCTGAGGGGAATTACTCTGTGGGGAAGGGGTATTCTGCTGAAGATTTTAACGATAAACTCTGCTGGGGATGGACTACCGTTGCTGGTGATATTGAATCTGTTGAGGATTGAATTCCTGTTGGGGGGAAAGGAAAGAACTTCGTTGGGGATGATCTTATGCTTGCTGGGGAATGTCCTTATACTCCGTTGAGGAATATTAAGACCTTCTGTGAATACCAAACCTTTTTAGGACTGATGGTAGGCTAACTCTGCTTGGGGAGAGTATTGTTGATTCGTTCATGGTTGCCAGTTTCAGCTGAGAGAGCTATTATCACTATCTTACCTTGCGGGGAATGAAGGTATCTTAGCCATTTTCTTCAGCTGGATGTACCTTGGTACCTGGTGGACAGAGCAACTATACAGTTCAGACAATTCTTATTGCCCCTGTTTCTGATATTACCAGTAATTCGTCCTTTGTTTCATATGTACATATTTATGATCAGCAATTAATGTCAAATGCATATATCAAAAATGAACTTTGGACGTTCTTTACAAAACAAAACAGATAAAGGAAAAACAGCTTGAAATTTCTGAAAATGAATTTGTATTGATTTTGATGTTTGGCCTGAAAAATAGGCGTTTTTGTACAAGAGGCTGACGTCCTAGTAAGAGAACGCCGCCGAACAAATAGAATTTATACAATTTGTGAAAAGGAAACAAAACAGCTATGTGAATAATCCCACTGGGTTCCAACTCTGGTATTGCCTTTATATCTTCAAGCATCTCATCACTTTGCTGCTTAGTTGAAGATGAATCTGATTGATTAGTGTCGTCCGAGCTTGATAGTCGATACCGAAGTCTGGATGCGAGGTGATCCAATGAGACATAGTGTTACGCTTTAATCCCTAATTTTTGCCTGGACCGCCCTTTCGGGTTTTCAGTCCACCGGGATACCCTTTTTTGCCCAAGCCGCCTTTTCAGGTTTTCGACTTGCCGGGTGTACAGATTCTTTCATTTTCATCCCTTATTTTTGCTCAAACCCTTTTGGTTCTCTGGGAAGGCCTTATTTTTGCCCGAACCCTTTTGGTTCGCCGGGAAGCCCTTATTTTTGCCTAGGCCGGTCAACCTAGCGGGTCTTTGATTATGCGTAGTATCTTTTCACTATGTCTGCATTGACGGGGTGAGGAAGGTCGCCACCATCCATGGTGGTTAGAATCATAGCTCCTCCTGAGAAAATGTTCTTAACCACAAACGGCCCTTCGTAAGTAGGGGTCATTTACCCCTGGGATCACCTTGAGGTAGGATAATGCGCTTGATTACCAGATCCCCAACTTGATACTCTTGTCGTCTAACTTTCTTGTTAAATGCCTTGATCATCCGTTTTTGATACGTCTGACCATGACAAATAGCAGTAAGTCTCTTTTCATCGATTAGGTTCAGTTGATCAAGTCGGGTCTGAATCCAGTCATCTTCACTCAAACCTGCATCCTTCATGATCCGGAGAGAGGGTATATGAACTTCAATGGGCAAGACTGCCTCCATGCTATATACCAAGGAATAGGGTGTTGTCCCTGTTGACATCCGTGCTGAGGTACGATACCCATGAAGAGCAAACGGTAACAACTCGTGCCAGTCTTTGTATGTCACTGTCATCTTCTGCACAATCTTCTTAATGTTCTTATTTGCTGCTTCGACAGCCCCATTCATCTTTGGCCGATAGGGAGAAGAGTTATGGTGCTGTATTTTGAATTGCTCGCAGAGCTCGGTGATCATTTTGTTGTTGATATTGGTACCATTGTCCGTAATGATCCTCTCTGGTACACCGTATCGACAGATCAGATTGTGCCGAATGAACCGTGCCACGACATTCTTGGTTACGGTAGCAAAGGAAGCTGCTTCAACCCATTTCGTAAAGTAATCAATCGCCACCAGGATGAAACGATGCCCGTTGGATGTCGTAGGTCTGATCTCGCCGATCATATCAATGCCCCACATTGCAAAAGGCCAAGGCACTGTCAAGACGTTCAGAGGAACTGGAGGTATGTGCACCTTATCAGCATAGACCTGGCACTTGTGACATGTCCGAGAATGCTGATAACAGTCGGCTTCCATTGTGGACCAGTAATATCCTGCCCGGAGGATTTTCTTTGCCATGGTATGTCCACTGGAATGAGTTCCGAAAGTACCTTCATGCAGCTCTGCCATGATCCTTTCTGCTTCAATCTTATCCAGACAACGCAGTAAGGTCGAATCATGGTTACGCTTGTGAAGGATGTCATTGCTAATGAAGAACTTTGCCTCGAACCTCCTCATAAACTTCTTGTCATTAACAGATGCACCCTCGGGGTATTCTTGAGCTTCAAGGTACCTCTTCACCTCATGATACCAGAGATTTCCTGTTACTTCTTCAGTCTCAAGATCA